ACGGAGTACGTACGTACGTACGTACACTACTACTACCTACCTACCTACCTACTACTACTATATATTATATATATAGTATACTATACTACTATCGTCGTCTCTCTCTCTCTCTCTCTCTCTCTCTCTCTCTCTCTCTCTCTCTCTCTCTCATACACACACTCTGTTGATCTGTATGAGCGCTTCCGCTCTCTCTCTCTCTCTCTCTCCCCCCCCCCACACACATGCACACTGTTGATCTGCGCGAGGTGTGTATGCGTGCGACACACACACACACACAGATAGAATAAGAGAGAGTTTGGTCCCATCTTGACCTCATTGTTCCTCAGATTTCTTTACTAACTTTACTAACTCAAGCCTCATGATGCTCAGTTTTCGGACTACAAGATAATCTACACGGATTTGTCATTGTTTCAAAAAGTGCACCGCCCAGCGCCTAGGCGGATATCCCTGGGCGCCCTCCTGAACCCACCTAGGTGGCCGCCTAAGGCCTACACCCCACCCAGGGGTGGAAATGCAGCTCCTTGAGGGTATTTTTGGGTCATTTTTTAATGCTAAAGGGTAAAATTGTTGGTTTTAGGTTCATTTGAAACCTAAAACCCATTAGAGACTATTTTAGAGAGAGAAAACCCAAAAAAAGAAAAAAAAATTAACTTGGCTGCCTAGGTTCTGGGTGCCCGCCTAGGCGCTGGGCGGCTTGGAAACCCCTGACCGCCTAGGTGCCGCCTAGTGCTTTTTGAAACACTGGGATTTGTTCAAATCAACTGCTGAGTAAATGCACCAAGTACTATTGTATGACAGGGTTACCAAGCCCTAAGTTGTGGCTCAGGCACCCATGCAGTCAGATATAGTCCCCAACCATGTAGGTCCAAGGGCTGGCTGTCAAGCTATCCGATGTTATCCAAGAAGAAGATCGGTCTTTCTGGTTCCAGCAGCAGCAAAACTAATGATGCACTCCAACTACATACTTTAGTTTCTTTTCATGATTTCCTATTAAGGTTTTCATACTTCATTTTGTTCAATTTGATTCAGCCCTTTATGAATTGATGAATTGTTAGCAAAAAGCTTGTATCAAGGATGAGAAATACAGCACCAATAGGATTTTTCCTCGTAAACAAGGCAACCAGTCAAGCCTCAACGCACTTACATTTATCTATACTCAATAGGCCAACACCATTTAGCAGCTTGGGAATAGGCATTGGAAATTTCCATCTTGACTCTGTTCAGGCAATGGCCATCTTTCTAAGGATTGACCAAGTTTGCAAAATAACTTCTAGTTTTGTCTAAAATGCCACACAGATATTACCAAGTCCTCAATGAATCCTATCAAGTCAGCTAGGATCGGGAACAGGCCCAGTCCCGAACTGAGTCCACATTATTGAACTTCAACTGACCCACTTATGCAGTAATATTCATCTATAAAGAATGACAAAATATTCTTTTATTACTTTTAGTGTCATTCAGTCCAACCATTGTGCATATCATTTGAATGAACGACTTTCCGGACAGATATGGAGTTGTCGACAAAGATGCAAAACTGATGCACTAGGGTGGAATTCACACGACAAAACAGATTTCTTGGTGATTCCAAATCAAAATAGGCTCCTCTTGTGCTCCTGATCCATCTCATATATTCCCTAAGCATTTTCATTAAACCTAGGAAGGAATAGGCGCTGGTTGATGGACCTCATGGCAGCCTTTACACACACAAAGCCAAAATCACATAGGTCGTCACTGACAAAGCATGTGTACCAACCCTTGCTATGAAGCATTCAGACAGGCTTTGAGTCTGAACACTTTCTTCAATATACTGCAGATACTTTTGTAACAATATTTGATTGAAATCATTTTCATTCGAAAAGAAGGATCATCCCACTACTGGGGGTGTAGCACTCAGAACAGCCTCAAGAGTCATGCTGGATATGCATCGGAGTTCACAAACATAAGATGGGCAAAACATGTAGAAGATAGTCAGTCAACCATATAGTCACTCCGTTATCCACAAAGTGTACAGAAAGCAAGTGAAGAAATAATATGGTCTAAGAATGATACAGAAAATTCCACAGATGCGTTCATCATTTTTATATAATATAAATACTACTAAGGTGCCAAGTGATACTTTCCTGTAGAATATTAGAAATGCTAAAAATCTCCTTATGATTTTTCTTCAAGAATAAAAACCATTTCTCTTTTTCCTCTGAGATTATTTCAACATATTGAGAACACATACACCTGTCCATCCCGTTTCTACATATGCCAATTGCCAAAATCCCGAGACCTCATTTCCAATTGCCAAGAGCACACACAATGAAAATTGATAACAATAATGACTCTTCGGGGATAGCCATGTCCAGTGATGGGCTATCCCCGAATTGTATGGTAATTGCCCATTTGATAACAAGGATTGGCTAAAGTGACTGGCGGATTAGACTCTCCCCAAAAATTGAGTAAGTGGGAGCTCTTGGGGGAGGGGTGGGTTTTCTGCAGATTCCAACATTTTGGGTTCAGCAGGACACTGAAACTCCCATCTTTCATTGGCGAAAGATCTTCCGCCCCAAGCCCCCCCACAAACGAAAAAAACAAAACCCCAACAAAAAAAAAAAAATATTCATTTTTGCCCTCCCTCTCTCTCTTCTCCCATGATCTCTCTCTCTACTCCTTTTAGCTCTCTCAACATCCTATTGAGCTCTCTTTCCATTTCCACCCTCTCTCCTCAAACTCCTCTCTTGCACTTGCTGGAATTGAGGGCAGAGCATCAATCTAAAGAAGAAGAAGCAAATGCAGCTTAAGAGGCCAATTTGAACCCCTTTTCTCTCTCATTAAATTTCAATTAAAACCATCTCCTGCTAATGTTTCCACTCCTCTGACTGGCCTGAGAATGGGGTGTCAGACTAAGGAAGCAACTGCAAGGGAACAATGCCATACCCAATTTACCTTGAGACCAATAATAAATCAAAATCAACTCCCAGACACAAAATACAAGATATCGCAATCAGAAGACCCTCCTAACCAAAACTCAACAGGGAGTATTTAGATTAGATTTGACTATTTTTACCTACTGAAAAAAATAAGTAAAATAGGTTAATGGCTTCTAACTTCTAGAACCATGTAGTTAAAAATGCTGACTATACTGACTGAAGTAAATTAAAGAGGACATGAGGAACATGCCTAGAAGAAACCATACATTTCAAACAGGCATCATTGTAATATTATGCATGGTGTCAGACATAAGCCATGGAATACCTTTTTTTGTTTTTAGGAGTAAAATTTACTGTATTAATATATCATGTCATGACATGGAATACTTCAACCGGACATTAAAATGGAAAATATTCATGGTCCACTTTAGGTGCCTAGATAACATGCTATTCGATCAAGGTCCTAGTGTTTTAGTTCCTAAATATATAAAAGAGGTCATAAGAGAGACAACAGTCTATAGCAGTGGTTTAAAAAACGGATCGGTGCCCCGGATCGGGCACCTCAAAAACCTATCCGGATCGGTGAATCGGCAAT